GGTAAGCATAATTTTTAGGACCTCCTGACATGAATTTGATAATGTGGTCCCCGTCTAATTCGTCGGTCCATTCTCCTAAACTGTGGCCAAGGGTAGGATTAAATTGTCCCTCCTTATGTTGGTATATGATACTGTCCGTATCGAAATAAAGGACCCGATCTCCTAAAGGTTGTAAAGTCTCGTAGAGGTGTAATCGGGCATGAGCGGTAGTGAAACAGGCCAGTACCACGTTTCCGAAGGGACACTCTTCTACGAATTCTTGTTTCTCTTGATAATTCACTAGCATCATGTCCGATTCGGGCTGCTCTTTATTTTCTAAGAGTTCTATCCCTTTGATGTCAATGGTCGAATCTTGTAAGAGTTGCTGTACTTCCTCTTCTTCGGTCAAGTATCGAGTTTTAGGTAATAACAGGCGTTGAGCGAATTTTCCCCACAGGCAATTTAAAAAGAGTTTGGCTATCGTTCTTCGCACGGGATTTTTTTCTATACTTAACAGGTCCATTCTAATCCCTTCTCTGTCTATTACTTTACGAATGTAATCTAGTTTTTGTTCCTCCGTCTGACAATCAGGTGGGAATCCAGAAGCTTCCTGTTTGATCTTTAAGAAGGTATCGATGTAAGATCTGAATAAATCTTGACTGCTTTCTGGAAAATGCCAAACCTCGTAAATCCGCTCTAAAGTATATCCCATGTCTAAGGCTTTATGTAATTCTGTAGTCACCCAAGTACCTGTAAGACTGCGTTCCTGGTCTGTGTGTTGACATCGATGTTTAGAAGTAGAGTCCTGTCGTTCCGCACAGGTTCGACATAATGGAAATAATAACTTGCCTCCTGTGCGATAAGGTAAAACGGGGTGATAGAGGCCTCGGGGTGGTAAAACCCGACAGTGAATGAGACCGAAATAAGTTCTCACGTCCTGGAATTGGTCTGTTATGATCTGAGGATGGCCCAAAGGAAAAGGTCTGTGTTTTAACACGTAAGGGTATAAGGAACAGACGTCCACGTATCTCATGTCCCCCTCCTCACAATACAAGCGTGTAGCATTGGTCCGGCCTCCGTACAGGGCTTCTCGGGGGTTCAAAGGATCTGGAATGTCCAGGTCTCGTACATAATTCTGTAATGTCACCTCTCTTTGTACTTGTTGATCGAAATCGTGTTCCCAGATAGTACGTACGGAATACCCCATTTCCTCTAAGACCGTATTCCTCCTTAAAGTTTCCTCGTGTAATTCCTAGTAAGTAAATTGTGTCCGGTGAGGATGAGTTTCGGTCTGTAGATTCGGATAGCAAGTAGGGCATCCGTGCCAATAGCATCCGTAAAATTCGTAGATGGTACGAGTAGCTTCCTGGTATCCATCTACAGTATAACTTCCGATCTTGACTTCTCCTCCGTTTCTAGCATGTCGTATGTGAGATCCGCTCTGGTGACTCATCCAGGTTAGCCACCGACAGGCTTTGGCGGAATATTGACGCGCAGGCTGATACCCCATGTTGGGAATGATGGCAATGGTATCTTCGGGCATGAATCCTCGACGGTAAGCTAAATTGGCCGCACTGGCAAAAGTGATGGATTCCTGGAATGGGTCTACATGGACCAAGGTCTTGAGAGTGGCTCGAAACTGAGCACAGCATCGTCGTAAAATATCGACGTCTGAAATACAATAGTCTAAAAATTCCTTCTGGAAATCAAACACTTTTCCGGTTTGTTGTTCGTACCATTGATAAAAAGCCTGTCGTCCACTAATAGACATGTCGTCCGGATTGTAGAATGCTGCCGGTGGATAAGGCCCCACATAATTCTGGTTCTGTTCTGTATTAAAAAAGTGAGGGAAATACCCTTTTTTCAGTTCGGTGAATCCGAAAGCAGAGGGCATTTTAGACAGAGCAAAAGGTAAAAAATTATACGAGTCGATGAATTTCAATCCGCAGATTTGCATGGATAAGATTTTACTGCCGTTCATGATGACTGTAGGCGTCATGCAGGCGGAATGCACCAGGTAATTTAAAATGAACTGTCCATCATATCCTTTGAAATTGTGGGCAATGATGATAGCCTCGTCGTGTAATAAGGCGGAATTCTTATTGCCTGTGTCGGGTTGTAATAACCAGTCCATGAAGTGTTTTAAGGTATCTGGCCCTTTAAACACGTGTTGACGGGGTCCCATGTGTCGACAGTGAGGACAGGGATCTTCTATGGGTAAGTGTCCGCAATGTTGACATACGCGGTGTGCCACACATAAATTAGGGACGTGGATGCCGTCTTCCTGTGTACATTCGAAATCGAAATAAATATAAAACTGTAATGTCTCTTTGCCTTTCTTTTTCTTTTTCTCAGGCTTCAGTTGAACGTAGCACTGATGATCCGTGTCTACAGTTTTCTTACAGATCTTACATTGTTTCTGTCCTCCGCAATGATGATGAGGGAGTAACATTTTAGGCATCCATTTCTCACAATGCTCGCATCCTCCCATTAAACTGCATACTGTTGTGACCGTATTCTTACTGTGAGGTTTTAAATGGTTTTCGTAGCAAGTTCTGCTCTGAAAAAATCCCTGGCATTGATAACATTGAATGTGGCTCCCGTCTGGAGGGCAGGGCGTGTCCGTTAAACAAAATGAACAGCGGTAAGGACACTTGGTACGATGGCCTGTAATGTTCCTGTACCCCACATCGCAATGATCACAGTAATATGGGTTGCCCGTCACAGCTGGCATAGACAAAATAGCATCGTAATGATGATCGTCTAACAAAATGTTTAAACAAGTTCCATCTCCGCAGCCTTTGTACAGGGGCTCTAAACTGAGTTTAGAGGAGGTGGACTTAAACTGAAATATTTTCAGTCGATAGCGAGGGGCTAACACCTGTTGTAATTTCCCCCATTCTTCTGGTCCACAAGGCTGATGAATATCACACCCGGCTTGTTCCATGAGAGCTATAGCTTCGTTTTTCTGGTCATTAGCTCTTACATCTCCTAACCTCATGCGTTTCCATAATTTTTCCCATTCAACTAAACTCTCTGGATTTTCCGGTTTTTGACTGTGTAACCGGGTGACTACAATGGCTCGAGCTAAACAAAATTTATCCCAAGGATTGTCGATCTGAACGATGCATCGTTTATTCTTTTTAAAAATCTCCTTGTTGACCATCAGGTGTTTAGTATTCTGTCCACCACTGCCTTCTGGATATTTGACATGAAACATGTCGAATTCCATAGACCCGTCTCCCAGTTTAAAATCTTTCTTGGATTGTTGCACGGCTTCTATTTTATTTAAAATGACGTCCTCGTTCAAATGTTTACATTGCGTAAACTCGTACCAAATGTCGGAATCCAGAGAAGGGTGGTGAATGTTCAGGCGTACATAATCGTTAGGGTTACACTGCATTTGATATTTGACATTCTGTAGCATGTCTCTAAATAATCGCCGAACAAAGCCTCTGTTTTCCTCCTCTGGAAATTCTTTAAAATTCACACTGTAGACATCTTCTTTAGCTTTAAATTTTCTGGAATGCCGGGCCTGATTGAGTCTCACTTGATAATACTGGGAAATGGTCTTTGGTTTCGGTGGTGGTGGTGGTGAATGAGGTGGTGACGAAGACGGAGAAGGTTCTTCTTCTTCTTCAGGTACATTCCGTAAACGTTGTAAGTGTTGAGCTCGGTGGGCTTTGGCTCTCTTTAATCTTTCCATTAATCTCGCATTTTTTTTCCTGAGAACTAATTCTCTGGTTCTCTGTCGAGAAATAATTCTTTCTAATTCTTTCTCCCGTTTTTTCCATCTCATAAGTTGTTGTGCATGTAACAATTGTTTCAAGGCACTATCAAAATTCATCTTGATAGATCTGACAACAAAATGAGCTGAAAGTCGGAGAAAAGCTGTATTTATACAGTGTATGACGTCATAATGCCTAGGTAGTTCGCTGATCCAAGACTAAGTATTGAGACGTACACAGTACGTACAAAAGGGTATATAAAGCAGAGCTGGAAATTTTAGGATCAGTCTTAGTGGGTACTTGGTACTAGACAGACGTAAAAAAATATGGCAGAGGAAAAGTCCATGAATTCACCTGCAACCTTACCAGAGACACAGGATAGTATTGAAGGAAATGAAAGAAGTTTGATATGCGATATCTTAGATCAAATGACCAATGTAATGGAGATACTTCAACAGACTATTTGTGAGTTTAAAGAAGACATGATTACTGAGATTCGTGTGTTTAGAGGAGTGATAATGAATGAGATTGGAAATCTAGAAAAGAAAATAGAGACTAGTCAGGATCAAAAACAGATTAACAACAAGAGGAAACTTCCTACTACCCAGACGGAGAAGACCCTGAAACTCCAGAAGAAAAAGTAAATATGATGTACATTACTTTGAATAAATCATCTTACACACTTTTTTACTGTGTTATTGTTTTTTCCGTTTTCAGAAAATAGAGCTCTGTGTGAATGACATGATGTCACAATGGTATACTTGAATCGATGCCAAGATTGTGTGTATTGCCTATACCTGACTCAGCACAAAACGTAGATCAAACGTAGACCCCCCTTTTTTACTTGGGTTTTTCCAGGGTGTATACTAGATTGAACCGGTCATCTGGGGCCAAAAAAGTGCACTCAGTTGACCCGGCTATCCAGGATCTGGGGGGACAAAAAGTGCACTCAGTTGACCCGGCCCTCCAGACCCCTTATACTACTCTTAGAAAAATTCAATATACGTATCTTTCTGGTCCAGATTTCATACTTAGTACTTCAATGATCCGGGTTCCATTGTCAGTACCTCATTGATATGGGTTTGGTCCTTGATACTTGATAGATCTGGGTTCGATAAAACGGATTCCAAACTCGGTTTAAGAGAATTATTTTGAAATTATCTGAGTTACCTAAGCTTTTTCTTAGACATGAGGTGGCTATGAAATATCTTCTCTCTATATGTCTTCAACATAATTCTGTGTTTGTTTAAATTCATTTATAAATGCTTAGATTGATTTTACTGTAGACTCTACCCATTTTCTGTTCCACATTTTTCTTCGGCTGTCCCTCGATTATCACACTCACAGCTCTCTCCTATCCACCCAGGGTTACATTTACAGATCCCACACTCAAAAGTTCCATTAAAACTGCATTTGGGACTACTTGGCTCCTAAAAATTCAAGAATTTCAAGTTATTACATGTTTCATGCACATGAAAAACATCTAACAATCTGATAATTCCTGTGAAAAAATAAAAGAGTGGTATCTTACTGATACATATAAAAAGTAAATGCAGGCAAAACTAAAGCGATTTTGTTGATCAATACTTTAATAGCCCTACAGCTGACGGATTTCAAGGTTAATATGAACAATTTCCACTTCTAGTAATGAAACGAATTGAATGATTTGCGTTTCAGTTCACGAAGTTTATATATGAACAATATTTTAATGTATATCACAGCCATTGCAGCAAAACATACCACTTCTGGTTCTAACTCGCAATCACAATCACACACGTGTTCTATATCAACCCGAACACGCTCCTCCAGACCCTCAGGGAAAATGGAGAAGGTAAGGTTTCTTTGTTCAGGACAGGTGTCAAAGTTAGATTTCACAAGCGGGATAAAGGTAACCTGTGTGACATTAAAAGCATACGTTTGAAGATTGCTCTATCGCAAAAATCAGGAAAGTGAAAATTGCCAAAATATACAAATCATCAAAGTGTATATTCCTAATTTTACAAATTCTAATTACATGTCCTAATTACATCTATCATGTTCTTGATGTGCCGATAAGTGCAGTTTCAGTCGTCTTAAACGTATTTGCACATTGTCTTTTTATCTCTTCATAATATATGCAGGATTTCTAGGCGATATTTTAAAAATTTCGAAACAATGATGAAAATCATTTTTATGCCCACGTAATCAAAGATTCGAGGGTATATAGTTTTTGCCCTGTCCGTCTGTCAGTCTGTCTTTTTAATCTGTTTGTCTGCAAAAACTTTAACATTGCCCATGACTTTTGATTGGTTGGAGCTATGACTTTCATGTTTCACAAGTGTATTCCTTGTAACAAGACCTTCCTTTGGGTACCAACATACTTGAACTCTTGACCTTGACCTTGGAGTTTGACCTACTTTTGTAAAAAAAAAAAAAAAGAATACCCAACTTTACCTTGGCCATTAGTTTTAAATAGTTGGTGCTTGGTCTTTCGTATTTCACATATATATTTATCGTGTCAAGACCTTTCCATGGGTGTAAATATTTTTGACCTTTTGACCTTATAGCTTGACCCACTTCAAAAAAACTTTAACCTTGGCCATAACCTTTGAACAGTTAGTACAAGGGCTTTCAAAATTCATAGGTATATTCCTTGTGACAAGACCTTCCTTTGAATACCAATAATTTTGACCTTGACCTTGGTGTTTGCCTACTTTTGAGAAACTTTAACCTTTGACATAACTTTTAAACAGTTGGTGCTAGGACTTTTATATTTTGCATGTGTATCTCTTATAACAAGGTCTTCCCCTTCTTACCATTAATTTTGACCCTTTGACCTTGGAGTTTGACCCACTTTTAGAAAACATTATCTTTGACCATAACTTTTAAATGGTTGGTGCTTGGAGTTTTTATATTTACCAGGTTTATCCATTGCCACAAGTCCTTTCTTTGGGTAACAACATTTTTTATCTCTTGTCCTTGACCATAGAGTTTGGCTTGTATTTGAGAAACTTTAACCTTCCCCATAAGCTGCTATACGGGGACATCAGTGTTTCACAAACACATCTTGTTTGTGAAAGAAAATTAAGACATTTCTGGTCTATGCCTCATGGGGCTATTTACATTTTTATAAATACATTTTTTCAATATTTTTCACATTGTGCCATAAAATATTCAAATATATAGAAAAAATAAAAGAAATATATATATTTTAAGAGAAAGAGAGATCTGTATATGTTTTATATTACATGTATTACCGTCTTGTTATTCGTGAGTCTCTCGCAGATATTAGTTTTGTCCGGCTTTCGCCTGGGAAAATGATACAAAAATGATAATAATACAGACTTCTTTTTGCTTTTATATAAAATACAAACTGAACGTAAAAAAAAAAATTAAAAATAAATTCACCGACCCAGTTCTACAGTTTGTGTATATTGTAACATCCAATTTTTTATCATCCTTGTCTATAAGCAATTTTACCGTCCCTTGAAGTTTCTACAATAAAAAGGAAAAGTAAATTTCACATGCATTTGCCTTCATCTTCAATTATTGGTCCATTACGTGCACAATAAATTGATTACAGAGCGCTTGCAAGCATACATTGAGATATGACATACCTCGTAGTTTTTCCTGACGATTTCTAGGATATTACTTGCACTTGTAGAAAGGCTTGAGGCCTCTGTGATAACACCCGGCAGTAATTGGGCTAGGTTGTCATAGTAATGACTCCGTACCTGTTGATTGTTTAATTGAGAGGAATTTCCGCCAATTACAAATATTACGTTTACGTTGTTTTCTAACGCTTTTTGGATGATTTGTCCAACTGACGGGTAGTCCTATATCAACAAACAAACATATCTTATCTTAAAATGTTGTTTTATAAGAGGAAAAATGATCAGTATTCTTATTTTTTTCTGATGCTAAAAAAGGGGGCAAGATGTTTTAAAAACTGGTAAAATTATGCAGCTGTGCGTGTACCTGTACTTCAGCCTTCGTATAAAAACCGGTCGAATCTAAGTGGCAGAGGCCGTCATTCGGTTCAAGGATTCCAGCTAGCTGCATGAAAAGAAGAAAATTCCATATTGCCATAATAACGCTGTCATTTTCATTCTTTAGAAGGAGAGATGTAAATAACAAAGATTCGTAACTGTTTGAAATCTCGGTATAGCTCATAGGCTCTATTGTTTAGTATTTTTCATTTTCACTGTCAAATATATCAAATTTAACTATCAAATATAACGAAATAAAACTTTTGTAATCATTTCTCTGAATTATTCAAATGATGTTTTCTCGTAAGTTTCTTTCTTTTCTATACAATAAGCAGCTTTAAAAGACAACAGAAGATCTGTGCTCAGTCATACCTCTAAGAATTCCCTCACCAGTATATATCGTATCGACATAAGAATTGAAATAACCATTGTTAATTGACAATACGTCGTCGATATATCTAAATGTTGAGTTGAAGGCCACAGGAAGTGTTTTCTTCTTTTCACGTATAAGATTTTGAACATATTCTGCTTCATATGAATACAAAAATAGGTCTGCTTATAACGGGGTGCAATTGGTACCCATGGAAATTCCAATAGATTGTTGGAAGACCTGGTCTCCAAAAAGATATTGTCAATCAGACTCTAAGCATCTTTTTAATATCATCTTCAGAGTACTTGCGTGTACAATCAGAATGCTTTTTAACAAAATAATTTTGCAAATGACCTATTTTTATTGAAAAAGCAGCTGTCAATGATATTAAAAAGCCTGGACTTTAATTTATCGTGGAGAATGGTTGTGCAAAAAGTTGAAAAGTCGTAAGTTTTTATGTTGTTGATTTTCGTAAAATTTTCTGATTTCAAATTTTCCAAAAGTTCCTTGGAATTTTTAAGTATCCACATCTGATTAAAACCACTTCTCGAATACTAGTATATTGTTGCACATGCAGTACTGCTGAAGTTTCTCCTTCACTACTGTTAATATTTTAGTGAGGAGTAATAGTGATCACAATCGTAAATCAAAGTTTTCAAAATTAGCACTATACATGTAGTGTCACAGTTATGACTATGAAATATGTGGAAAAAACGAACAGTATTCGAGAGGTGGGATCGAGTGCCATGGAGGAGTGAGCATCCCCTGCCGACCGGTCACACCCGCCGTGTGCTCCTTGTCATGATCGGGAAATATCGGAAAAATCCGTCGACAATTCAGTGTGTAAATAATGGCCTAACAATCAGTATGAAAAAAGTCAGTGAGCATTTGACTTAATGAAAGATTGTATTTGCTGACAAGGTCATTGTATCGACCATAGAACTTACGAAATGATGACTTTAAACGAGACTGCTGATATTCTTGTTTCATCAACTTGTTTGTCAAAAACTATATATAACAATATATAACACTAGAAACTCATTGCGAGCCGTCCGATTCAAAAATAAAAACGAAAATTCAAGCTGAAAAAGTGATAAAAGAAATTCAGACACTCTGGAGATTTAACCCTGGTCGTCAGCGTGAAAATCAAACGTGCTAACCATTAACCATTTACTTTTTTACATCACTTCCTGTCACGACTGGAAGTAATGGCGATACAAGATTTTTTCACGATTCAAATAAATGGATGACTGACTATCAGTCCTGACAGATTTAGACTTCAGTCGTTTACTGTTGCCGAGCAATATTGTGAGAACAAATTCTAATTTCGGGGACAGGTAAACACGCGACTGGCAGTGAATTTTATAAAAACAAAAAAAAATCTCTGACTTTTCTCTAGACATTTGCAGTATCTAAAAAATACATACATACATAAAATCATTTCAAGTACTTTATCGATAAGCAATATTTATGAGAAAGTTAAATATCAAAATAACATAGTTTATCTCCTAAAACCGGAAGTTGACATTTTTGTTTCCTGTGGAATCTAATATATTTCAAAACAGTAAAAGAGATACAATAAAGTGATGCAAGTTTTAATTTAAAAAAGAAAAGTTCATTTTTTTTATTTCTTTGATTACTTCCTGTGACAAGCGGAAGTGACGACTGACGCGTTTAACCCAAATGGTTTGCCTACTCCTCAATGTCTATTACTCATAAAAGTTTGGTGTTTTAATCTTTTACCTGCTTTTGAAATCTTGCTCAGACAACTTCTTATTTTGAGGACAGGAAAACAAGCGACAGGAAGTGAATTTTTGAAAGATATTTAAGGTTACTCTAGACTTTGCACTCTGAATAACATATTTAAAATTCATTTCAAATACTTTATCTATAAAAAATATTTATGGGAAAGTAAAATACTCAAATTACACAGTTTTTCTCTTATAACCGAAAGTTGTAGTTTTTGTTTCCGGTGGGACCAACATCTTTCGAATCTGCGAAAAAGATGCAATAAAGTGATGCAATTTTTAATTTAAAAAAGAAAAGTGGAATTTTCGATTTCTTTGATCACTTCCTGTGACGACCGGAAGTGACAGCTGACGCTCTTAACCCAAATGGCTTTGCCTACATCTTAAGGTTTGTTGCTCATATAAGTTTTGTGTCTTAATCTCTTATCGTTTCCGAAATCTTGCTCAGACAACTTCTCATTTAGAGGACAGAAAAACACGCGACCGGAAGTGAATTTAACAAAGATATTTGAAGTTACTCTAGACATTTGCAGTCTAAAAACATATTTAAAATTCATTTCAAATACTATATCTACAAAAGACATTAATGGGAAAGAAAAATACCCAAATTATGTCGTTTTTCTCTTATAACCGGAAGTTGACGTTTTTGTTTCCGGTGGGACTAAATATTTCGAAACTACAAAAGAGATGCAATAATGAGATGTAAGAATTGATTTAAAAATGAAAAGTTTAAATTTTACGATTTATTTGATCACGTCCCTAAGCAACCGGAAGTGCCGACGACGAACGAAAAGTAGCGATCAGGCTTGTTTCTATCTCGAACTATAATCCCTGAAAGTTTGAAATTGATATCTCTTGTCGTTCTTGAGATTATCCGCGGACAAAATGTCATTTTAAAATCAGAAAATGGTCTTTAACTTGGCACCGGAAGTAAATTTTCTAATTTCCTCTCGGATATTATAAGTTCATGTTACAACACATAATTCCTGAATATTTCGTGTGAATCCATCCAAAAGTCTCTGAGAAATCGCGTGCACAAAATTAGAAAGTCAAAAAAATAAGAAGAAGAAACAGTAGAATCACTATAAGGTCTTCCGTGAAGATGGAAGACCTTAAATATAGAAGTCAATATATAACAAAGTCAACATATAACAAGATATAACAATACATGTATATAAGTCAATATATAACAATATATAAGTCAAAGCTTTTCAAGTCATGTCTATAGTAAGTCAAAATGTCGAAACTATCATTATAATAAACTATGTTTTCCATAGTGTCAAATTGATCACTGTTGTTAACCATGGTTTATAACAGTTTATTTTTTTTTCTTTTGTTCGGGTAAGCCCTGCCTTTACTCCTAAACAAATTCACTGCTGTGAAGGAGAAACTTCAGGCGTACTGTGCATAAATTCAAGTGTGGTCTACAGTAAATGTGGATTCTCAAAAACTCCAAAGAACTTTTCTCAAAATTTAAAATCATTTAAAAAAAACGACTTTTCAACAATTTTTACTAATTCCTAAATATAGATTAAAGACCAGAACTTTTGGCATCATTAATAACTGCTATATGAATAAAAATGGAACTGGTAAATTTTCATATCTTGTGATTGTTCATCTATAAAAATACATTGTTTAAAATCACTCTCAGACCGATTCTTCAAACTCTGAAATTTATATTAAAAGGATGTAGCAGATCCTCATTGGCAATGACTTTGTAGTCCTTAGATTCCATGTCTTCCAACAATCTGTGGAATTTCTATGGACACTAATTCTCCTCCTTTATTGGCCGACCTGTCTCTCTGTATTCTTATGAAACAAATTTCATTCAAAAAATTTCACATGAAAAGAAAAAAAATCTCTTGTAGTGGCCCTCAATTTAATGTTTCGATATCAATTAACAATGGTTACTTTCAGTCATACAAATGTAAGTCAACTTGATATACCCCAATGATAAAAGACACCTCAGAATCTGCCACATCTGTTTCATACTTGGGTGTTTTACTCACTTTAAACTATGCGACAAACGGGATGATTTAAGGTGGATCCTGTTATCAAAAGTAATGAGAATCTTTTATCAAAACAAAAAATGGGGGTCAGTCCACTTTTTTGGCGCTACGGGACATTTAGTATGACCTTTTGCCTTGTTATTACGTCTAACACATAAATTAACTTTTAAAGATTTTCCTCCAAAATTTTTTATTCAAATAAATTATGGGAACGAGCACAGTCTTATTTCATCTTGAATAGACACATTAAAATTTGTGCCAACGAGAGAGTTTCAAATTTCTTCAAATGATCATTTATTTGACCTTTCTGCACTCAAAAAATGGCATTTTTCTGGCATTAAAATCTAACAAGCAAGTAAACATTTGAAAGTAAAAATATTTTACTGAATTTAAGAAGGGTGGAGCATCTTAAATATTCAGAAAAGAAAATTAAAAGTGGGGGTCTGTGATGTTAGTTTTTAGATATTACTAAAAAGTGTTAATTTTAAGCTTAAATTATGGCTATTTTTCTAGGTCTACAGAATATTTGCTATATATTTGTCAAATATGATGATAGAATTCATGACAGATCATTTAAAAGATAATTAGGGCAATCATAGGGTTTTAACTGAATATAGTTTAGTTGGCATTGTAGAATCCAAATTTACATTATGCAGAATTTTTGAAATATAGGTCAAGACAAAAATCTGCTATAAAGCTCAGGAGCGAAACCCTTTAAGCTTTTCCATTGCACCTTTCTGTCTTCATGTAGTAATATTCCATTGTCACCTGAATACGGCTTTATGTCTCACAATTAATACTGTTCGCAATACCATATTCTGAGTATAATCAAATTTTATATGCAGACAGGCTAGGCTACTAGAAATAATTTTCTATTAGAGGGTTTTAAGGTATTTCGTTTAAAGTGTGCATTTTCCAAATTTTACTCGTTATAATGACATTGTTTGCGAATACAACTTTAGTTAGGTCGTATTATAACTGATATGTTTTCTTATCATTGTTAAGCTATATATTGTTTTATGCAGAGTTTTCAATGGATAGCTCTGTTTACTTGATCAATACAGAGTTCTCAAGGTGAGACCGGTCTAAAATTAAGGGTTGTTTACTCTTTCGAGGCACTTAATCCCACATCTGATATCTCCAGGGATCCGCACTTTTGCACTATTTGTTTTCTTTACTGAATTTATGAATTGAACACTGTTTTACCTTCACTTTTAATTACATCTCTAATACCAACATATCCGCCACTTTCTCATTCAAACTTATTTGTTAACGTCAGTCTCTCAAAGTATTTTTTCCTCATGTTTATTATACATGTACCAACTAATCCATTATCTCTCTTACTGCCTTATTAACACGTTTCTCCTTCCGTGTTACCCACTGTCTTTCACACCAACTTACCCGCCCGTCTCCGGCCTGGTGGAAGTTGATATCTGTGGCATATAACAACATCCGCCTTGCTTTTTTCCTCCAACCGATTTTATCCTTCAAATAATAATCTCAATGAGCATAAGTAGGTCGATCGAGTGTATGCGCCATACACTATATTTTTCTTTTATTATCCCAGGAAAAAAGTATTGGAATTGAATGTAAAAGTTTGACTATCGTTAATTTTGCCGTTTACTCATTAAATCATATTGGAGAAGGATAGTGATGCATGGAATATTTAAATGTTATTTCACAATCTGGAAGAAAAATTTACTTACTTTGCAAACCATTGCTTGTAATAGACCATCGAACATGCCCTCTGGTTTGTCAAAATTGGCCGTAGTCATAATAGCATCTACAGCATCCTAAAATAGAAAGAAAAGCTTATCCCATAGAAAAATAATTTATAGAAACATAATCGAGGAAATATTTCAAAGTTAAGGACTATTATTTATTTGATGATTTTTTATGCTAGAATTGAGACAGTAAAATTTTGGAGAAAACATAGAATCGGTTTAAATCGGGAATAACTAATACACTCTGTACAATAACTAAACTCAGGAACATTAATTTAGAAAATTGTCGCAGGAAATGTTTCTTATATTGAACAATAAAAAAATTATATCTAACAGACATGATTTTAATTCTTCTTATTGCTTTTTATTATATCTGGTGTTACAGACTTAAATACATACCTGGAACAAGGTTATGTTTCTTGTGAAGTTTAGTCGATGTCGATAAGAGTATGGTTTTTCACACTTTTGTTTAGTTCCTGAACAAGGATTTTCTATGCTACAAAATGGAAAAAAGATCAGAGTAACAAGAATAGATTAGGTCCCTTATTAAACCTGAAATTTTAAACGCGAGTATATTTTGTACTATTATGAATGAAAGGATGCCAGAAACTCAGTTATTCTGAAAACAGTATACATAGAGGCCACTGATATCAATCATGAAATTAAAAAAATAATCAAAACTGGTGAGGGTATGTTGAAAAAAATAATTCCAAAAAAAAATGTTCCTCAAAGATCGTCTAATTGAATGATTGATTGATTGATTGATTGTATGTTGTTTTACGTCCCATTCGAGAATTTTTCACTCATATAGAGACGTCACCATGTACCGATGAAGGGCTTCAAATTTTGACCTTTACTCGGCACTCAGGGCCATTGAGCAGTGAGGGATCTTAATCGTGCCAATGCCTACTGGGGCCTCGGTTTTTAAGGTCTCATCCGAAGAACCCGCAACTTTCACTTCAAAGTGCAGAGCGCATGGCGAAGGAACAGTTGCTACCCATTTTTTATCGACTTAGGTCTGTCGCGGCCGAGATTCGAACTCACGACCTCCCGATCACGGAGCGAGCGCTCTACCGACTGAGCTACCATGAACGGTTAGATCGTCTAATTACTTTGCAAACGAATACCTGAAATATCCGCGGCGTTTTTATGAAACCGTAACCTGGACTTTTTTCTCTTCGGTAGTTATATTCATAGCAAAATAAAAGTTAGTTAACCCTGTCGAATTCCAATCCTATAAGATTTGTTGTGTCAGGTGAAAAACGATTAGGTAGTGAAAATATATTATATAGAACTAGTATTAATTGTAACGGGGACCGTTAGAGATGTTCCCCAAACGCCCCCCAACTTCCTTTTGGTGTCTTATTCCCTGTAAGCTTCATTAAATAAAGCAATCAAGTATATTCGGTTTTTTACGCATTACACGCGCACGCACGGGCATGCATGTACAAAATGACCATGTCAACTTGTCCACACTTTTAATACATCTTTATATTCAAATTTCATCAAAAGATAATAAAAAAAAACGTGCATGCATGGCCATGATGATCATGTCATTTTGTCAACACTAATAATATATCTACATATTTTGAGTATCAAAGGATTTCATCAAAAAGTATAAAAGTTAAAGCTATATCAAGTATATTGGTCATTTTAGCATTGCATGCGCGCTCATGTGCATGCAAGTGCATATTGACAACATCGTCTTGTCTACATTTATAATATGTCTATATATTCTGAGTATCAAAGCATTACATCAAAAAATGTAAAAGTTATAGTTATCAAATATATTGGTAATTTTACTCATTGCACGCGTACGCACGTGCATGCATGTGTGCGCTGACCATGTCATCTTGTCCTTACTATTAATATATCCTTATATTCTGAGTATTAAATTTCATCAGAAGTATTTCATCAGAAGATATGAAAGTTTTGGCTATATCAAGTATATTGGTCATTCTACTCATTGTATGCGCACGCACGTGCTTGCAAGTACATGCATGTGTGCGCTGATCATGTCATCTTGTGTACACTTCTAATATATATTTATATTCTGAGTTTCAAAGCAATTCATCAAAAAATGTGCAAGTTAAGTCTATATCATTTGTATTGGTTATTTCAATCATTGCGCATGCGCACACGTGCATGCATGTGCATTCTGACCATGTCATCTTGTCTACACTATTAATATATCCTGATATCCTGAGTATCAAAGCATTTCATCAAAAGATATGAAAGTTAAAGCTATATCAAGTATATCTGTCATTTTACTCATTGCACGTGCATGCGCGTGCGCACGTACATGCATGTGTGCGCTGATGAAGTCTTCTTGTGTACACTTTTAATATATATTTATATTCTAAGTTTCAATGCAATTCATCAAAAAATGTACAAGTTAAGTCTATATCAATTGTATTGATTATTTCAATCAATGCGCATGCGCGCACGTGCATGCATGCGCATTCTGACCATGTCATCTTGTCTACACTGTTAATATATCCTTATAATCTGAGTATCAAAGCATTTTATCAAAAAATATAAAAGTTACAGCTATATCAAGTATATTGGTCATTTTACGCATTGCACGCGCACGCACGTGCATGCGCGTGCGCGCAAAATGACCTTCGTTCCGCAAATCTACATAACATTCCTATTAACCCTAAAAAGGTTTCACCTCAATCGGATGTGTAGTTTACGAGATCACTCACGGACAAAAAAGTACCCAGGAAGAAAAATAATAATAATAATAATAATAAGAAACAGAGTAAAAACAATATGTTCCCAAACTTCGTTTGGGGAACATAATAAGGTTATAAATTTGATTCACCATACTAAATACATTAGGCATTTCACTTTTGACGTAGGTATATTCCATATATATAAGAAATATGAATTAACAATAGTTACTTCCATACATATGTCGAATCGATATATCCCAGCTAGTGAACTTGAAATAGAAGATTCAACAGAGTCTAACACATCTGTTTCATATTTGGATATTTTTCTGGAGAAAGACGTTAATGTTTACCTAACAACAAAACTTTATGAAAAACGTGATGACTTCAACTTTTCTATCGTCAATTTCTCTGACTTATGTAGCAAGATACCCTTACACCTGCATATGGGGTTAATGTCTCCCTGCTGATTCGATACACAAGAGCATACTCAATGTATGAACAATTTCTAAAACGAGGCAATCTACTGGTTAACAAATTGATGAAACAAGGATATCAAAAATGATGTGCAACATGTAGCTGTCACTATGAGGCTTATCATATACAGAGTTGTAAATGCGAAACTAAGACACGTGGTCAGTTGCAGAGGAAATTCAGCTGAAAAGCAGTAGGCCTTAGAAGAAGGTGTGTATCTCAGAGGGAAGGTGAATGGCCCCATATCAATTGGTGAATTTTCATTAGGGCATGCATTGATTTACAGACTACTGGGTGTTTTATCCTGATCGCTCGGGCCTGGGGGTGGGTTGAATGGGTGCGACTGAGGCCCAAATCTTGGAAAAACAAGCCCAAATTTGGGGAGTCCCCAGGTGCATTTTTGGTACAGGTGCACTCTAATAGGCAGATACATGTAATTTGATGACATAATTTGTGAGCCATGGGCATCAGTGAAGTGTAATTAATTAGCCCCTGGAAAGCTGTCCCCATGTACATGTTTTTATGGATCGCATGTATTTGTGTACCCCCTCTGCACATGTTTGGCATTAAAAAACTATCCTCTGCCACCTGAGCACACAGCGGATGTGACCGGTCGACAGGGAATGTTTACGTCTACATGGGACCCGATTCCACCTCTGATGTTTTTAAAGGTCTGTGTTTGCTTTGCTTCTACTTTGTACTGTTTCAGTGGACTGTGAGCTTGATTACTGTTCGTTTTCTCCATATTTCACTTGACACAAAGATTGTTTATTATCTTATATTGTATCAACAGGTTAATTGTGGCACATTCAGGGTAAATGATGGAAAATATATTTTTTTTTTCAGGGAATAAACATTAAAAGTTTATCCTTTACTATAACCTATGACCTGAAGGTGAATTACAACCTAGCTAGACCCATCTGTACAATGTCTCGGGCAGAAAAAATGGCTGTAAAATGCCAATCCTGGTCAAATCATGTAAAGGAGAAGCATTTAATTTAGAAGCTCACATTGCGTTTCGCCTGAAAGTGCCCTGTGACTTTACCTCTGGGTCATTTGCTGAATGTTTAAAGATACTTTTAGAAAAAAGAAAATATGTCTGGTTCGTAATAAGAAAGAAAAAATGGACGCAACAATAAAAAGAAATTAAGTCGGGGAATCATTTTGTGAGGTGGCTCACCCCCGGTAACTTCAACTTTTGAAAAACAGATAATTGAACTAGAGCCGAGCTCGTTGCAGAGCAACGAATAGGTCTTCCGTTGGAGCAGTGACTTTGAGTCAAGGTCATGCCATATTCTAGGATGATAAATAATCTTGTAAGGGACCTATCAACTAGCAATGTTCCGCCAGTAGAAAGACAATAAAATAATGTACACTTTCTATTTTGTGACCTTGAACTTGTCCAGATGACCTTGCGTCAAACCATGACACACTCTGGTTATGACGCAAACCTATCTGTGTTACCGACTTGACAAGTTCACATATGTTCTTTCAGACCACACATCCAGTAAAAGCATCTTGTTCTTAGTGACCTTGAACTTGAGTCAAGGCCATGACACAGTCTGTATGATACCAGCAATACCCTTCTGAGTGTTTCCGACTTGACAAGTTTACACATATTTTTTTTTATTTCATTTCCATATAGTTGTAATTTATTACGTTTTACTCGCTGGCTTCAAATTTTATTGTAAATATGTTTTATGTCCTATTTCGATATTGAAAAACGTCGGCGTCTTTGAGTACGTGTACAATGTGCATTACGTAACCCTATCACACCATGTTTTATAACGCAGACCATACATGAGTATTTAGTCAGCGTTATAAAAAGGTAAAAAAAAAAACCCAAAAAACAAAACCATTTTATTCATTAAAAATCTCTGCATAATTATCTTTGCCGGTTTCTTACAGAACTAGATCTAAGAGTGTTCCAAGGAACGCATGTGTCGCCTGCTTTCAGCTTCATTAAAGATGTAACTAAGTCTAAAAGTGATCAGCTATTTATTTGCTACGGCATGGCATATAGTTCATGCAAAAAAAATCCAGGGGTAGTAAGACTGCGATAGAATCTAACAATCAAATAAAAATACAAATCCTTAATCCCTCAAAGCTAAAATGGATATTAATGAAATTTGAATAAATTTATTGTAAATGATTATTTATAAATTAATTAAGTACGTGATTTCAACAATCCTTCAAAAGAGACTTCAGTCTATCATATCCGTAATTGTCAGTCTACAACATCCATTTTGGAATACCAATCCCGTTGTATTTTCATAGTACTTAAATTTCAGTTTTTGTGGTTTCTTTATTTCATACAGTGTCAAAATGCATTGTCATGAGCTCATAA